CTCCTCCATCCTCCTCCCCATCCTCTGCGCCTCCTCGCCTCCTCCTCCTCCCCATCTCCTCCTCCTCCTCCTCCTCCTCCTCCTCCTCCTCCTTTCCCCCAGCCCCCCCCCCCCCTTTTTTTTTCATGCTCCTCCTCCTGCTCTCCTAACCTCCTTCCTCCACTCTCCTCCTCCTCATCCCTGCCCTTCATCCTCCACCTCTTACTCCTCCTCCAGGACCCCCGGGCACGTGCATCTATGAACAAATCCCTCAAATGCTAATTGACGTGCATCTATGAACAATTCCCTCAAATGCTAATTGTTTCATAATGAAAATAGGGCGTTGCGTCGTTTTCGTTCTCGAGGGGCCGTTTTCGTGACGCATGCCAAAGAGAAACGTACATTGCGTTCCATCCCCCTATGGGGAAATTGCAAAATGTGCTGCTCGTCGTCCGCAATCATCGATTTCAAAGCGTTTCGTGAGGGTTTTCCATCGAGCGCCCGCGCCAGGCTCAGCTCCGTTTCCGGCCAACGCGATTCCTCCCCCGACGCCCGAGAAAAAAATTGCGTTAGTGACCCCTTAGTCCATTGAAACATCGGTGTTAGGAAAAGGGGGGGTCAGAAAAAAAAACTGGAGAGGGGGCCTTTTCAAGTTCCCTCTCCAGTTGGAACGCGCGGGAAAGTGAACCTTTGCAAGTTCCCTTTCCCGCTGCTGGAGAGGGAACCTTTTCAAGTTCCCTCTCCAGTTGGAACGCGCGGGGAAGTGAACCTTTGCAAGTTCACTTTCCCGCTGCTGGAGAGTGAACCTTTGCAAGTTCCCTCTCCAAGGGAAAGTGAACCTTTTCAAGTTCCCTTTCCCGCGAATGAAGGGTGAACCTTTTCAAGTTCCCCCTTCACTCCGACGACAAGGGGGGGCAGGGAACCTTTGCAAGTTCCCTCTCCCGCAGCTAGAGACGTCGAACATTTTCAAGTTCCCTCTCCAGCCCAATCCTGCCACGAACGGGAAAGTGAACCTTTTCAAGTTCCCTCTCCCGCAGCTAGAGAGTGAACCTTTTCAAGTTCCCTCCCCAGCCCAACCGAACGCGGGAGAGTGAACCTTTTCAAGTTCCCTCTCCCGCCGACGACGACAAGGTTGGCCAGCAATTGGACGTGGGCAAGTCGAAAGAGAATATTCAGGCCGCAGGAGCGAGTTCCCCTTCGATCCTCCAAGTGACGACAAGAGACGGTCCTCAGACGGGACTACCCGCACCGCCCACAGACAAAGTTCCCGCTTGATACTTCCCCCTTGTTCAGGCCGCAGGAACAGAGGAGCCCAAAAAGCTCGCTCGGATGACCCGCTCGGGTTCGAACATGAAGTGCGTGCCCCACAGGGATGGAGCGCCCGCCTGATACTTCTCCCATATTCAAGCCTCAGGAGCCCAGCAGCGACGACAGTTACAGGTTTCCGATGACCCGCCTCGGATTGGTAAGATGATCTGCGGGCCCCATAGAGAGAGGCTCCCGCCTGAGACTTCCTCGCAATTCACTCACAGACAACGTTCCCGCCTGATACTTCCTCCAAACTCACGCCCCAGGAGCCCAAAAGTGACGACAGCTACAGGATCCCAATGACCCGCCTCGGATTAGTAAGATGATCTGCGGGCCCCATAAGGAGAGGCTCCCGCCTGAGACGTCCTCGCAATTCACTCACAGACGGACGCCAGAGGCCCCCCGACTGATACTTCCTCCAAATTCACGCCCCCCCGGGAGCCAAAAGTTGACGACAGTTACAGGAACTCCCGAGACCCGCTCGGATTAGTAAGATGAGCTTGCGGGCCCATAGGACGAGGCTACAGCCTGAGACTTCCTCGCACTTCACTCACAGACGAGGCCCCCGCCTGATACTTCCTCCAAATTCACGCCCCGGGAGCCCAAAAGTCACGACAGTTACAGGATCCCGATGACCCGCCTCGGATTGGTAAGATGATCTGCGGGCCCCATAGGGAGAAGCTCCCGCCTGAGACTTCCTCGCAATTCACTCACAGACGAGGCTCCCGCTAGATACTTCCTCCAGATTCACGCCCCAGGAGCCCACAAGTGACGACAGTTACAGGATCCCGATGACCCGCCTCGGATTAGTAAGATGATCTGCGGGCCCCATAGGGAGAGGCTCCCGCCTGAGACTTCCTCGCAATTCACTCACAGACGACGCTCCCGCCTGATACTTCCTCCAAATTCACGCCCCAGGAGCCCAAAAGTTACGACAGTTACAGGATCCCGATGACCCGCCTCGGATTAGTAAGATGATCTGCGGGCCCCATAGGGAGAGGCTCCCGCCTGAGACTTCCTCGCAATTCACTCACAGACGACGCTCCCGCTTGATACTCGTGTGAGTGACGGACTGACTGAGTGATGTGTGACGCCAACGGATGATATCCTCATGTGATGATCATGATGAGTGAGTGAGTGAGTGAGTGAGTGAGCGATCGAGTGGTGTATGGGTAAGTGTGATGGTGCTGAGGAGGAGAGGCGTGGGTCATGATGATGATGACTGATGATGATGATGGCGAGAAAGAGGAAGAGAGAGAGAGAGAGAGAGAGAGAGAGAGAGGGTGTGAGATCCTGCGCGGGGGGTGCGCAGAGAAAACAAGAACCCCACTTTGGATGTGGGGAATTACTCCGACGGAAGGACCCCACGTGATAATCTGTTTAGCTTTCCCTTATCCCTTTCCTCCCGGCCATGGCAAACACCCTCGTATCGCCCTCTCCTCTGCCATCTTTTCCTCTTCTTCTATTTCCCCCCCCCTCCTTCTCCTCCTCCTCCTCCTCCTTCTCCACCTCCTCCTCATCATCGCCCTCCCCATGCCCCTTCCGTCCTCATCCTCCTCCTGCCTCTTTTCCACGTGCACGTCCCTTCCCCCCCGGTCGGGGGAAGCAAGTCGATTTTCCTCGGCGCCGTCGCCGCCTCGGTCAGAACGCGCGCGTTTGCCGACGGCCAGATCGCGAAGCCGTCGGGGCAACCCTTCGGGCCAGCCATGCCTGCGGGGCACTCCCGCGGGCCGCCGGAGCGCGAGGGCAGGCCGTCGGGACAACCCCGCGGGCCAGGCCGTTGGGA